GAAAAGCAAGAATGAAATTATACCGAACAATGTTTTTGATAGACTCTGGCTTAAAATATTGAAAACATTATCTTTTGTGTTTTGAGCCGTTAACAGCACGAAACTGAAATTACATTTTAAGTAATTATTTGCAAAAAAGTTTCCTTAAGGATTAGAAAATCAACTTCGTTTTTAAATATAATTTCTCCATAGTTTAGGTATTTAAATAGGTAATTAAAAAAATACAACGGAACCTAAGTATGTATTACAAAGTGATATAAAAGTGTTCCAAATAACTTGTATCTTTAAAGTATTTAATATCTGAAGACTTTAAGACTGAAGACTGTGCTTGTTGATTTTAAAAAGGTTTATTTTTTATCTGAAAAGCCGGTTGGTAGGTTAGCATGATTTACAATAAAAATTTATTCTGTAAATATACTAATTGAAATTGAAAAGTATATCTCAAAGCACTTTGTTAAAAGTCTTTCTTTTTGTGAGTAGAGTTAATTTTTTTTTTGTAGAAATTCAATTGAAATTTAAATACAATTTTAAAATATTTACAAATTTTGACTGACCACAGCTTTGGAAATAATACATTTAATATTATGAAGACGTGTACCTACTTTGACTCAAAACTTTTTGATATTCAATCAAATTTATTCTGTAAATATAATAATTGAAATTGAAAAGTAAATCTCAAAGCACTTTGTTGAACCTCTTTCTTTTTGTAAGTCATTTTTTTATAGAAATTCAATTGAAATTAAAGTACAATTTTACCACAGCTTTGGAAATAATACATTTAATATTATGAAGACTTGTACCTATTTTGAATTAAAGTTTATAGTAATTTATTAAAAGCACCACCATTGCTTAAACTTGATCTCTAAAAAATCTTGATTATGACAATTGCTTTATAAAACTCGTTGTCCAGCCCTCGTGGCTCCTTTATTAAAACCTTCAATTCATAGCCACAAACTAAAATTACGTACAATTTTAAAAAATAAAAACAAATTTCGCATTTCAGAACTTATTTGCGAAACTGCTCATGCAGCCCTCGTGGCAACACACGTGACACACGTCAACTATTAGATGTGCCATTTGTTTACATTGCCATTCTTGCTGTTGCACACGTTGTTTACATGATTTTTGTCGCCCATATTGCCGCAATTGTTTAGATACAATTTTGCGCAAATAACAACAGCTAGAACAACCACAAAAACAGCAACAACAATAACTAAATGGTAGGTAAATAGTTCTCATCTACATTGCCCGTGTGTGTGTGTGTGCGATATAATTGGATCAATGCTACGTGTATTTACCTTTGCCATTCTGATATTTGACGGCCCACAGACTAACAATGTTGCCGAGATGGCGTCTATACAGTCAGACCAGTTCATCGAAACGTTGCAGAGAAATTTAATTAAGGGCACAGGTGCCAAGACACAGACATTGATTGCACCGACCAGGCCAGCTTCAAAAGCAATCATAAATCAAAGTTTAGGTGAAGTTTTGAGATGTGAAAAATGCGCCAATAGCACTCAGAGAAATAATGACAAAGTTATTTGTCGCTTTTGTTTCTTTATTTCCTTCTGTTGTAGTTTGTTCAAATAAGCAAAAGTTTTTAAATTAAAATTAAAATTGACGCCATAGGAAACTATCGTCCAGTATGGACTGGGGATAAATGAACTCGGAAGAAAACCTTACATTTAAGAAATTTCAATGAAATTGATAATTAATTGATAAGTACCAAATAGTTATTTATTTTGTGGAAAATCCAATTGAGGTAGATGTTAATAACACGGTATTTGCACTTTGAGTTATAGAAGTCCTGAAAAGAAATTCTCGGGAACACCGTCTTCCATTGGGATGAAATCGTCCACTTCCTTACTTACGACTTCCATATCGCCATTGAAATCCATCGATTTTTTTTTCATTAAAATTTTTTTTGCCCCTTTTTTGCTTTTCAGTTGCACACACGATTGCCATTGAGGCAACGATCAATCAACAAAGATCGTATAAATCCATCGCTTTCTTTTTTTTGGAACAGTTGGGTTATATTTGCAATCTGTCCGATTGAACCATCAGCAAATTATAATGGGGGAACATTTTACTCTTTGAACCGGAAGTTTATCATTAATTTAGCAAAATGCGTTCAAATTCATATTTACTTTTAATTTATTCAAAACTGCAATGCAAAAAAGAAAAAAAAATAGAATTCTAACAAGGTTAAAAAAAGATGTCGAAAGATTCTACATTTTTAAAATTTTAAATGTTTTGATACTATTTAAGTTCAAAATGTAGAAATGCGCTTTCGCCCCTTTTTTTAAATTAGTGGCAATTTTCATTAATTTTTCAAAGAGCCTCATATTTTTGAAGTGTGGAGAAATGCCACACGGCTGCAGATGTCAGCAACATGTGGCAAGAAGTTCGAATAGAAACAAAAACAAAAAAAAGAACCATTGCCAGAAATGTCGCGATTCAGGAGTCGTGACTTTTTCTGACATGGTCAAGTTTAATTGAAAAAATAATACACGCAAAAATGGCTATAAAGAGCGCCAGTTTTGTGCCGTTTAAATGAAGCTGTCGTATGCCTCGACATTTAACGCCACGCAGCTGCCGAACGGCGACCCCTCTGCCCACATCCAAGTTATAATTAGAAACGTCGGTAGCAGCAGAACAGAGAAGATATAATAGCAAATAAGAATGAAAGAATAAATTAATTTATACGAGTTTTTTCGTTTTTTAATTAGAAATTTTTTACAGATAATTTTAATAACTGCCAGGGCAGAAGCAACTGCAACAACAACAACAACAACTGTGCGCGTAGCAAGGTAGCTCAAGATAGCAAAAGGATGCGTCGGTAATTGCGGACACAACACGCAGCCAAAGAGTGCGCTCTCAAGGGTTGGGGTTGGCAGCGCATTTTGCTGCTTTTTATTAACAAATTTTGCTTTATTTACGCTACGCCATTTCATAATTAATAATATAGGGCTGTCGCGGGAAAATCAACTCACGTGCGCAGGTTGCACGGCAGTTGATTACATTTGACACAGTTCAGGGCTTGTTAGGAACGCATAAATGTGGGCCCCAAAAAGGGTTAAAATTGCCGCAATTTTGTGACACTTTTATGTCAATGATATATCATGCTAACGATTAGACTTCTATATACGAGTGTTGCTGTAGATTATAAATATGTAAATAAGTGGAAAAGCGGTTGAAAGCGCAATTAAATGGATTTCAGAAATAATCTTCTGAATCCAGGAATAGGAATTATTCTAAAACATAGGCGTATTTAAGGATAGCTGTATTAAAAACCAACTAGTACTTTTTATTTTGCAGCTAGATATAAGCAAAGAGATGCATCCGAATTGAGTTTTTATATTTTGAATTCATTCAAAAAATGCCCAAAAACGGCTAAAATAACAAAATGTTGTGATCATTTTATGCCTATTATTAGCATGATTTAAATCAAGTCGGCAACGGGTTGACTTCTCTATATTGTTGTGGAATATAAATATAAATATTCCTTATTCTCAAAACAATCTTATGTAATCAGTTGATTTTTGTTAAACGGAAGCATAGGTATAATACGGATATACCTATACATTTGAAGTGCAGAAATTCCATTTTCGGTTTCTGTAGGTTTTAAAGAATAAGAATAATTTAGCATTCGAAACATGAGAGTAGTAAATTGAAGTATTAATGTAGTGCTAATTATCCATTCTCTAGCGGTGCAGAGACTAAGTTTATGAACCCTAGATCTTTAATTTCGCGAGGATAAATAAAAATCCGGATTGAAATGTGTCCCCAAAATGTGTTTACATTTTCATAAGTATGTCACATTTTCAATTCAATGATGGAGCATATTCCATTCCATTCCACTTAGTATATATATAATACGATGCACTGACCATTCAAAAATAAATAAATTTAAATTTGTAGCTCGTCCCGAATTCATATCATTGTTATAAGGCCCCTTTACTCTTTCTATAGTATTCTTAACAAATTCTTAACGATTAATAAGTTTTGCAATTGATGATTTCCATATTTGTGTATAAATATGAATTAAATGTCGGGAGGAATACAAAAATCTCGGGCTTGGGCATACCAAACGCGGCTATTTTAATTTCCTATTTTTTGCCGGCTATGCAATCCTTTTTCAAAATCCCTTCCAATAAAGCACTAAATTTTTGGGTCTGGCAACATAACAAAGACACAAACCAAAATATCCCTAAACAGACACCATCCCAAAAGAGGAAATGAACACAAAACAGAACCAGTTCCATAATGAAACGAAATTTACCACTTCTGTGCAACTTTTGAATAAACGTTTGTACTTAAAATAAATATAGAAGTAAAAAATTTGATACTTTCAATAATTTCTGTACCTTTCTACGGAAAGCAAGCTTTTGGCATACGATTTCTACTTGTTTTCGCCAATAATTTACAAGAATTTGTACAATAATACAAGTTTTCTCCCTGCTTCTTCTTCGCCATATCGGTCAATTTTAAAGTTGTCGTATTAAATGAAACACGTTCTTTTTATTCTATTTATAAATCATATAACGCATCTTCTATGAGATAATGGTGATTTAGTTCACAGAAGGAAAAATCACCATTTAATTTCAGACTAAATATTGTCTATTAAGGGTGAATGCTAATAAATGAATAGCAAATGGTTTCAATCAATATCGGTGACGGAAATTATTTAAAGTTCTTCTTTAAAGATGTATAATACGATATCCGTTCCTTCCAGTCATAATAAATTAATTTTAAAATCGATTTGATTCATGCAATGTTTGATTGAGAACTTACCAACTGAGTATAGATTTCTTGATTAATTATTTCATAAAAAATTCCTTGAACTTGCTTATTTGTTTTGTTAGATCCAAAATTTGAAATTGAATGTTGATTGAAGAAATCTTGAGGCTTATTCTCGTTTCAAACACCACACAATCACAATAAATCCTTCTGACTATAGTTCTCTTCCCATACGTTCATAAAAAAATAATGCATCATCATTTCCGAAAGTGGTCCTATGTTTAATTCTGGCAACGTTAAACGAATGATGGTTCGAGTTGTAGGTTAACTTCAGGCTTACTAAATATACACCAAGAATGATTAATTGTGTCCCATTCCCGCGTGATTTCCGATATTTTCTCTTCGGTAAAAGACAAGCTTTAGATCCAAAATTTGAAATTGAATGTTGATTGAAGAAATCTTGAGGCTTATTCTCGATTCAAACACCACACAATCACAATAAATCCTTCTGACTATAGTTCTCTTCACATACGTTCATAAAAAAATAATGCATCATCATTTCCAAAAGTGGTCCTATGTTTAATTCTGGCAACGTTAAATGAATGATGGTTCCAGTTGTAGGTCAACTCCAGACTAACTGAATTGACACCAAGAATGTGACTGCACTCTTTGATGAATTGTGTCCTATTTTCCGCGTGATTTCCGATATTTTCTCTTTGCTAAAAGACAAGCTTTCATATCAACTTAAGTGCTACTCTTTTTCCTCCGCTTCTTTATTCTCATATTTCTCCATCAAGTCTCTCGCCACTTTCATCTCCTCTAGTAGCGCCTTTAATTGTGCGCGTTCAATATTCAATGTATGAGTGGTATCTTGGGGCAGTCCATCGACTAATTCTTGCGAGATTTTTAGTTCCAAAGTAAAGCAATCCGATGGTGTGCTATCTTGCGAGGTTACGTTGCGAACACTCTGCAGCTCATTAACTGAAAAAGGGAAAAATATAGCAAATGGGGGAAAATAGTTTAAAAAATCTACACCTACTTTTAAATGCTTTGGTCTGTAGCTTTTCTCGTATGCTTACGGAATGCTTTTCAAGCACCCGACACATGGCCGCCGCATGATCCTTGGGCAGTCCCAGCTGTTGTATTTCCTCGCCGAAAACTGCTTCGCTACAGCTGTAGCGAGCGGCATTCACGAGCATAAAGTGCAGGCAGGCTACGGCGGTTTTACCATCATTACTAACAGACGACGTTAGAGCTCGGATTTTTGATTCCTAGAATACGGAAGAGGAATGGAGTACTCTATTTCCGTTTGAATTGTAATTATAAATCAAACTTACTTCAAATTCATGTCCACTTATGCGCTTGGCCACCAGCTCAGCCAATTCCTCCAAATTACTCACACTTAAGTTGGATAATGTTGAGATGATTTCAGCTAGAACCCAATCGGGACAATCGCCTTCTCCACAAAAGCGAAATTTCTGAAATGACAAAACGTAAGAATTTGTATGAAAAATTAAAGCTTTTAGATTCATTAAAGAGAAAACTGCTTGGTGAGAATGTCAACTGCTGTACTATTTAGCGAGATAGTTTTGCTCAACAGCTATGGAAAGAGGAAAATCCTTTGTCAGATGAGAATTTACAAACCACAACAACACCATAATGGTATTACGATTGCAAACTAAGAAATATAAGCTCCGGAAAACTCGCTTTTCTTCGACCGAAAACTTAGCCTCAGATTATATTTCTATGTATCCATAAATAAGTAGCTTTTAACTTTTTAAATTATTTTGTCATTTACTTCAAACGGCACTTGCCTTTGAATAATAAATCAATAATTTGAATCTGAATCTGAATGTATTTGATCGTTTTATTCTGAAATGTTTTCAACCTAAATTATAAGCCTCAAATGGATCCAAGATGATACCAGCTGTCTTTAAGTCTGATATGTCTAGCAAAATCCCAAATAATATTTATGTATTCATATAGTGTTCCCATTCTTAGCAACTAAGGGTAAGAAATGTTTAAAATAAATAGAAATATAACAGAGTCTAGATAAGCAGCGGAATTATCCATAACATAACGAGTCTAATGTTCAACTCTCTAACCGACTTCACTTCACTATAATGTGTAAGGGTATATTGTTATTGGTGTTCAACTTTATAATACACAGAAGGGAGAATAGTAGACCACATGTTATAGTAAAACATACGAATCGAAATCCAATATTCTTCGGTCTGTATCCAACACTACTCCCCCCTGAATTTTAGAACTATATTGAGCCTTCTTTCTGATGGACACAGATAGTTGTATGTAGAGACCGCCATATAGTACGAGAAACGATGTGATTTCAAAATAGTTTGTGTGTGAAAAACTTGTTTATTCTACGTATATTTATAAAAATATGGAAATCAAGTTGCTTAGCAAGAATATTTCAGTCATATCTAATGGTTTTACGGACCTAGTGGATCACGCATTGCAACCATGAAAAACCAAAAACAAAAGAAAGTAAAAAAAAACCAATTCAGTGGGGTATATGTATTGTTCGGAAGACGAATAATATTTTTTAGCCCGTTTTAATAAAAGATTTTCTAGTGAAAATATAGAAAAATAATATCAAAAAACTACTAAATAACAAGTTGGTTATTCCACTAATAAAGATATTCGCAGCATACCACATGGCTGTAGCTGTCATGAGTCAAAAGTTCTCGCTCTGTTCAAACCCAGGCGGACAGATGAACGGAAATGCCTTTAGTATTTAATTGTCTCGTCATATTAATTATACATTCTTGTATATCGAGGCTATAACGTCGCTTTCTGCAATTTACAAGCACCACAAACTTATTCATAGATGATTGAAAACTATGGCTTAGAGAGCATCCCAATGCTCACCCCAGAATAGGTAAAATTTCTTGTTACAATTTAAGAAGAACTGCTAAAGGATGTTGGCATTGCTGTTTCTTTTTTCTTACCCTCAATTGACACGGGGCACGTTTGAAGTGCTAAATTAAAGGCTAAGCAACAAGTGGCAGCAGAAGACAGTTGGAAGGAATCCAGAAAAAGAAAACAGAGTACTATATTTGCATATGATTAATTTCATACGCTTGCCTGCTAATCAGCCCACCATTTGTTAAAAGAGGCGAATGGGGGGAAAAGGGTTGGCCACACACGCCGCCCAGAGTTCTACCCACAACTAATGAGCACATTGCCAGCCGTTGACTTACTGTTATTTCCAGTTATTTTTCCTGTTCGTTTTTTTTTTTACTTTTTCGTCCACGCCTTCTTGTCCTGCATGTCTGACATATAAAGGCAAGGCGTTGTGTCGTTTCAAGTGCATGTCACGTTTATCTACGGAGCAGGATTAATAAATTTTAAGCGGAAAAACGAGCTACAGTTAAAACAGAGCGTATGACAAATAAGCTTTGCACGCTAATATTAATACATATTGCTGTTGGTGTGCTGTTGTTGTTGTTGTAATTGTTGCAACATATTTATGACACTTGTTACGCGTTATCCCACTTGAGCGCCCAAAAGCTGGCTACGCTTATTAATATTTATCTAGCGATGTGTGTAACGGTTTAGAAATGTGTAAACGACAACGACGTTTTATAATTATTTTATGAACTTCAAAGTTTGTCATTGGGTGTGTTTGTGTGTGTGAAAGAGAGGGTGGGCGGGCGAGTATATTCGAGCAGTCGAACTGCTATAAAAAGGCTTGCGACTCGACTGTGCCTGCACAGTTGTCCTCTTTAATTTGTGGGTGCGCGCGCGTTTCACTGTTCGCCAAATAGCTGCGACGAGCCGTTTGGAACAGTCCAGTCCCAAACAAAAAGGAGAAATTTTGAAATTTTAAAATGTACGCGCTGCGTTTGCTGTTGTTGTTGGGCATTTGCAGGCAACTCCTTGCTCTGCCCACGCACACCGACTTGGAGCTGAACACCTGTGAGCTGCAATTGGCCAAATATCGCAAATTCATACTACAGGCCATACTCAGTTTCGAGGATGTGTGCGATGCATACAATGCGCGGCCATCGAACGCCGAGGAGGCCACACTTTCGGATGCTCTGCTCTTCCACAACTACCAGCCGCCGGCTCAGTCGCAGCGCACCGAAATCTGGGCCTTCTTCAAGCTGCTAATGGCGCAATTCAATGATCTGGACTTTGCCAACATTATACGCGAGGCGGTCATTGAGCGCTGTCGCATCAAGTCCCAGCTGCAGCGCGACGAGAAACGCAATTCCGTGGTGCTGGGCAAGAAGCAGCGTTTCCACTCTTGGGGCGGCAAACGTTCGCAGGGCGGCAGCAGCGGCGGTGGCGGCGTCCTGGACTTGAATGCTCTCAATGCCGCTGGAGGAACGGCGGCCGTGTCGCCATCGGGAGTTTTGTTGCTAACTCCGCCAGAAGCGTCGGGTGTGGAGCACAATTACTACTAGAGAGATGGAAGAGCGTGAAACTCTTTCCAAAAATGTATGAAATGCCAAAACATAATCTACCACAATCAATAAACAAACTAAAATTACACTTAAATGTCTAAAATAAAGTGCAATGCAACAAGAATGTGGCGCCCAGTTTAAATTGTGTCTATATTTTGTGGTTATTGCAGCAGTTTGTTGAAAAATTGCTAACTTCAATCGCTTTGGCAGAAAACAATTAGCCAAGTCAAGTACGCAGAAAATAAGTGGGTAGGACTTTAACGGTTGTTTTTTCATATTTACCATGCTGTTGTTGTTTAAGGGTACTGCGGGATTACACCAAATCTACGTTTGAATTAATTTCTAGCGCTAAATGTTTACTAAAAAACTAAACGCATTCCTCTCCTCTTCACTAATAATACTAATACTAATGAACGTGCTGCCAATTGGCGAAATTGCGTTAAAAATCACGCACGCGCTTGAGTTGGCAGCGTCATTCAACATAACCAAAGCTCGCTGCTACACTCGTGCATACAATGTCAAGCTAGCAGCTATAAAATTGTAGCGGCACATTTAAACCAAAAAACGTTATATATTTAGACAGAAATCAACTTGATATGATTAATAAACAAACGAAACACTGGTTGACTGATTAAACTGACTCGATTAGACTTTAGAATTTGTTGACAAACTTATCGCACGCCAAGCAAAGTGTCACGAACATTAACCCAGCGGAGCTTTCTTTTTGCGTCACACCGCTTTCTTTATCGCTCTTAACCACCACAATAGCAACAACCAGAATAGCTCAACTAAACAATTTCGGCACAATTTTGATAAGCGTACAAACAATTACAAAAAATGGGTGGTAGTTGATAAGCTAACAAACGAACAACAAAGTATAACAGCCGTGAAGAGACTAAATCCGGACTGCTGCTAATAAACCTTGTCTGTAATCATTGGCAATTGTTTTACATATGAACTTAATTAGCATTATCGCATTATAGGCATATAGTTGGCGACATTACACGACATTTCCCCCCTTTTTTCAGTTGTTTTCGAATTGCCTTTGAACACGGACTGTGTGTTAAACACGCTCAAAACAAATGTTAACTAATCGCTCATTCCACAAATCTAATTTAGAAGTCATTAATATTTATTGATAATCGAATACCAAATCGACAAATAAGCACAATATATATATTAAACAACGTGTCGGAGAATTTTTCCTACACGTTTATTTGTTTATTTTTATTTTTTGATCTCGTATTAGCTTGTTTAGACATCTATTATCAAGATGCTTGGCGCCGATGTCAAGCTAGGGTGTTTCTGTTCGAACAGCTGATAATATTTCTAGATTAAGTGGGCGGATAATCTGAACTGTCTCTTCCCTTATATAAAAATAATACAGAGTGCGGCAAGAGTTTCTAAAAATAATATTAGTTTGTAATAAAAATAGGTGGCCCTTTGATCCGTGTTTTATTGAGTCGCATATGTACAAGTATATTGATTTTAGAGGCGGAACTAATTAGATGCTCGCGTTGCTTGCTTGAACCTTCCACCTGCATCTGTCCCATAGATAGAAACCGGATCGAACGATAATCCCACACGAGCCACACGAACCACGCCCGAAAAAGAAATCAACGACAATGCTAATAGGCCGGCATGTTATCAGAGCCCAGTATGAAGAAATATAATGGCCCATTAAAAAAATTCAAGTTCCATATACTATACAAGTATATTTCAATTAATTTGCATTTAAAATGAACTGCATTTGATGTCATATTTGAATTTTGCTGCACTTTTTTGTTTGGGTCAGAAAACGAAGCAAAAGCCACGGACTATTCAAAATTTGTCAAAGTGTATCGCACAGCAATGAAATACAAGAGCTTAAATCTGAATAAATGATTAATGAAATGTGCAATGACAAAAGAAATCAACCAGTAACATGATTTGGGAGAATCCAAAAGTAACCCAGCATGGACTTTGTCTTTTATTGAAAAGTGTGACAAGTAATTAAACTTCTTGCTGCTTGCAATCTTCAATCAGCAATCATTCCTAGCCCTTAGGCCATCCGCGAATAGTCAATGCTTCGGAAAATCGAACAAGTTGGGGTATTTCAAATACATATAAAATTCTATAAATAAATACTTGCATTGCAGGTGAAATACACTGTGTTCCAATACGTATAAAAGTACAAAGGGATGCGCGTAAATTATTTCTCAAAATTCGAATTGATAAATAAGAATTTTAATTTTCAAACTCTTCAATGAAATCCTATTAGCGATCAGGTACGTACTTGAAAAAGAGAGTTGATAGCCTTTTATTGTACAGTTATTTTGCCTTCGAATTCTTGGAGATTTGGGTGTCTCTCTAAAAGAAAACGGTTACACAAATAAATTTCCTATATATTTTTTAAAGGTTTTTAGGGATAGCACTTAATAGTAGTATTAAAATGGTTTTTCGATAGAGCATAATTATTCTGTTTTAGAATCATGGAACTATGCTGGTCATCCATCCACTTAAACCTTAGAAACCCATTGTAATGCCATACAATCGGGAACTTTTTTATAGGTCTGCCTTCCACTATCCGGTATTTCTAATGAGCTTTGATATTTTCACAATCGAATTTTAAAAACCTTTTAAGATGGCTTTTAAATTCAGAGAAAGTGTTGTTCTTTTTCCTCCTCTTCTTCGACTTTACAGCTTCTGCTGAAATTATTGGAAGAAAAGTAACGGCTATAGCTCATCTGCAATGCAGTTTCCCTTAATGTTATGGCACCTCGGTATCCATATGTTCTTGACATAGACATGCTGGGCCACCTTGTGGTGAAATCTATGGCAGTCTGTGATGATCCTAGAGCTATACAAATTGTAATCAAGGAGTTGGTCTTGAGCGCTTCTTTTCTGCACATACTATGGTTGCCTTAGAATCATCATCTTGGAGTCATACTCATATATTACTTTGAAATGTGGAGCCCAGTGCAACAAACAGGAATTCTCTATCAAAATCTTCATATGTAGTCTGTGAGATTACGTTTTTTTTTAAATAATTCATTCGCCTAAAAGCCTGCACAATACAGGACTAAGAGCTATTTAGTTCAAAATTCTCTTCATTCTCTTCTATCTGTCATGAACGAGATATTGAAGCCATATTAAAAAAGGAAAGAAAAATTGGAACACCACGTAATGCTCGACTCCGAGAAACTGAGCACAGATTAAGCAATGGTTGGTCGCATTTAATTAACAACAAATATATGCGAAATGTACATTTATTTAAATACGAACATAAATCACACTTTTTGTTGCTGCATCTGCCCATTTGTGCCTCCTACATGAGTCAAAAGCGTGGCCACCAAAAACAAACTAGGCCACTCCGTACATAAAGCTGATAACACGAGAGCTGATTAAATAAAAATAGCAAAAGAAGCCATCGCAGTATGTGGCATCGCCAACAACAACATCAACAACAATAGCAACAATTTAAAATCACGTTTAAGTTTAGTCATTGAACTTAACATTGGCGGGCGGGGACGCAGGAAGGCAGCAACAAGTGTGCCGGGGCCAATTGCCAGATTATAGGAGATTATAGGGAGAGAGCGAGTGCGAATAGTAACTGTTTAATTAACGCACGATTAGCCACGCAAATGGGCCAGAAGCATTACAAATTGGACCAACAGCTGCTGCGGGAAAAATGTAACGGACGCCCACACTTGCAGCTTCATTTATGGCCAAGCTGCGCGAAAAACTGGCCCGATCAGGTCCAGACCCGGCCAAGCCGTATCCAAGTCGTGGGCGTCGCCTCAGCGCCAGACAACTCCTACTCTCCACATCGTTGCCGCCGAGTGGTAAAATGTGAAAAACTTAATTTAACGCCTTTTGCGTCAAACATTTCATTTGGCTTGGCCCCTGGCACGTACATGGAAAAGTTGAAAATTATAAATTATTTTTGCCTTTATTGGTGGGCGTATTTTATGGCTAAAAAAAAAAACGTTGCACAAATAGATTTCCATTACAGTGCAAATAACCAACGAAGAACACAATCTCTAAGTCAGGGTATACGTATGGGAAACACTGGTCTAAGTTATTATTATTTTTTTAAATTAAATCAACAAAAGAGGGCTGTCGATACAAAGTTTCATAAATAAATGCTAAAAATATGTAGAAATGTACAATAATATCTGAGACATTGTAGACCTAACAAGCTAAAAAAAAACCAAATAATATTTAGTGGAGAAAACTTTTTTCTAATAAAAAACTATTAGATTAAGACATTAGGAGATATGTATCTAACTAACTTAAAATGAATAAATAAACTGTTTAGAGGTAAAAACTTAATTCTAATTAGGAACTATTAGATTAGGACATTAGGAGTTAAACTAAAAATAAATAAATAAATTAATAGCCAGTACGGCAAGCCTATAGCCATAAATAAGCATAGTCATAAGTGTTTATAAAATACAGAGAGAGCTCTGTAGAAAGTTGGTTAAAAAGATCGTTAAAGTTATTAAAACTATTGACCATTAAATGGTTATGAAAAGGTTACGAATCATCAACTGGAATGCTCTACATTAAAAGAATATTAAAGGACTTGGTTTGTAAAAGAAATCCTGAAGATTCCTCATAGCATTTCAAAAATTAATTGACATTTAAATACTTATACGTTATTATACTGTTGTCAGCTTATTTTTGAGACTTTATTGGTTGTTTAGTAGAATTTATTATTGTAATGATATTGTAATTATATAATTAAGATATTGAAGATCTTTGAAGTTATTAAAACTATTGACCATTAAATGGTTATGAAAATAATATGAATCATCAACTGGAATGCTGTACATTAAAATAATAATAAAGGACTTGGTTTGTAAAAGAAATCCTGAAGGTTCCTCATAACATTTCAAAAATTATTTGATATTTAAATACTTATTGTACTCTTTTTAGCTTATTTTTGAGACTTTATTGTTTGTTTAGTAGTTAATATTAGTGTAATTATATAATAAAGATAATAAAAATCGTTAAAGTTATTAAAAATATTGACCATTAAATGGTTGTGAAAAGACTACGAATCATCAACTAAAATGCTGTACATTAAAATAATATTAAAAAAGATTTCTTAAGATTCCTCATAATATTTCAAAAATTAATTGACTTATTGTACTCTTTTTATCTTATGTTTGAGACTTTATTGTTAATTTAGTAGAATTTATTATTGTAACAATATTGTAATTTTTAAACTATGTTGACATACCACGTCTCTAAAGCCGATTTCGGAAAAGAAAGAAGAGAAGGGCATGGACGATATAGGACTCGTCTTATCATGCACGCCTCCTTCTATGTGTTACTTACATTCGCACTAAGCTAGTATACCCCTTTACCTTTTGGCTACAGGGTACGAAAACGAAGTTGTAAGACTATTTGACTCGAATCAAAGTTT